CACTACCCCTACCACCTACCCTCTGTACCACGTGCTCTCTGTACCACGTGCTCCACCTACCACCTACCCTCTGTACCACGTGCTCTCTGTACCACGTGCTCTCTGTACCACGTGCTCTCTGTACCACGTGCTCCACCTACCACCTACCCTCTGTACCACCCAGGCCATCTGTGACACGTGTAGAGCCCTCACCACGCCACAGGTGACTCACTACCCCTACCACGTGCTCTCTGTACCACGTGCTCTCTGTACCACGTGCTCCACCTACCACCTACCCTCTGTACCACCCAGGCCATCTGTGACACGTGTACAGCCCTCACCACGCCACAGGTGACTCACTACCCCTACCACCTACCACTACCCCTACCACCTACCCTGTGTACCACCCAGGCCATCTGTGACACGTGTACAGCCCTCACCACGCCACAGGTGACTCACTACCCCTACCACGTGCTCTCTGTACCACGTGCTCCACCTACCACCTACCCTCTGTACCACGTGCTCTCTGTACCACGTGCTCTCTGTACCACGTGCTCTCTGTACCACGTGCTCCACCTACCGCCTACCCTCTGTACCACCCAGGCCATCTGTGACACGTGTAGAGCCCTCACCACGCCACAGGTGACTCACTACCCCTACCACGTGCTCTCTGTACCACGTGCTCTCTGTACCACGTGCTCTCTGTACCACGTGCTCTCTGTACCACGTGCTCTCTGTACCACGTGCTCTCTGTACCACGTGCTCTCTGTACCACGTGCTCTCTGTACCACGTGCTCTCTGTACCACGTGCTCTCTGTACCACGTGCTCTCTGTACCACGTGCTCTCTGTACCACGTGCTCTCTGTACCACGTGCTCTCTGTACCACGTGCTCCACCTACCACCTACCCTCTGTACCACGTGCTCTCTGTACCACGTGCTCTCTGTACCACGTGCTCTCTGTACCACGTGCTCTCTGTACCACGTGCTCTCTGTACCACGTGCTCTCTGTACCACGTGCTCTCTGTACCACGTGCTCCACCTACCACCTACCCTCTGTACCACGTGCTCTCTGTACCACGTGCTCTCTGTACCACGTGCTCTCTGTACCACGTGCTCTCTGTACCACGTGCTCTCCGTACCACGTGCTCTCTGTACCACGTGCTCTCTGTACCACGTGCTCTCTGTACCACGTGCTCCACCTACCACCTACCCTCTGTACCACGTGCTCTCTGTACCACGTGCTCCACCTACCACCTACCCTCTGTACCACCCAGGCCATCTGTGACACGTGTACAGCCCTCACCACGCCCCAGGTGACTCACTACCCCTACCACCTACCCTGTGTACCACGTGCTCTCTGTACCACGTGCTCCACCTACCACCTACCCTCTGTACCACGTGCTCTCTGTACCACGTGCTCTCTGTACCACGTGCTCTCTGTACCACGTGCTCTCTGTACCACGTGCTCCACCTACCACCTACCCTCTGTACCACCCAGGCCATCTGTGACACGTGTAGAGCCCTCACCACGCCCCAGGTGACTCACTACCCCTACCACCTACCCTCTGTACCACGTGCTCCACCTACCACGTGCTCTCTGTACCACGTGCTCCACCTACCACCTACTCTCTGTACCACGTGCTCCACCTACCACGTGCTCCACCTACCACCTACTCTCTGTACCACGTGCTCCACCTACCACGTGCTCCACCTACCACCTACCCTCTGTACCACCTAACCTCTGTACCACGTGCTCCGCCTACCACCTACTCTCTGTACATATAATAATAATAGCAGCACTTGCCCCTACAGCCCTGCCAGAGGCTGTCTGGGGGAGCTTTGTCTGTGTGTACATCATAGGTGGTGCTACTCGCGACTGACACTGCACTTGCCCCTACAGCCCTGCTAGAGGCTACCTGGGGGAGCTTTGTCTGTGTCTCAGCACTTGCCCCTATAGCCCTGCTAGAGGCTACCTGGGGGAGCTTTATCTGTGTCTCAGCACTTGTCCCTACAGCCCTGCTAGAGGCCACCTGGGGGAGCTTTGTCTGTGTCTCAGCACTTGCCCCCATATCCCTGCTGGAGGCTACCTGGGTAAGCTTTGTCTTTATCTGCCACAGATCATCAAGATCCTGAACCTGTACACTCCCGTCAACGAGTTTGAGGAACGGGTCACCGTCACGTTCATCAAGAACATCCAGGTCCACAACACTCACTCAATCACTCACAACACTCACAACAATCACTCACAACAGTCACTACACTCACAACACTCACTCACTCACAACACTCACAACACTCACTCACTCACAACAATCACAACACTCACTCAATCACTCACAACACTCACAACAATCACTCACAACACTCACTCACAACACTCACTCACTCACAACACTCACTCACTCACAACACTCACTCACTCACAACACTCACAACACTCACTCACAACACTCACTCACTCACAACACTCACTCACTCACAACACTCACTCACTCACAACACTCACTCACTCACAACACTCACAACACTCACAACACTCACTCACAACACTCACTCACTCACAACACTCACAACACTCACTCACAACACTCACTCACTCACAACACTCACTCACTCACAACACTCACTCACTCACAACACTCACTCACAACACTCACTCACAACACTCACAGCACTCACTCACTCACAACACTCACTCACAACACTCACTCACTCACAACACTCACTCACTCACTCACAACACTCACAACACTCACTCACAACACTCACTCACTCACAACACTCACTCACTCACAACACTCACTCACAACACTCACTCACAACACTCACAACACTCACTCACACACTCACAGCACTCACTCACAACACTCACTCACTCAACAACACTCCACTCACTCACAACACTCACTCACTCACAACACTCACTCACTCACAACACTCACTCACAACACTCACTCACTCACAACACTCACTCACAACACTCACGTCACTCACCTCACAACACTCACTCCACTCACAACACTCACTCACAAACACTCACAACACTCACTCACCAACACTCACTCGCAACACTCACTCACAACACTCACTCACTCACAACACTCCACCAACACTCACTCACTCACAAACACTCACGTCACAACACTCACTCACTCACAACACTCACTCACAACACTCACTCACAACACTCACAACACTCACTCACAACACTCACAACACTCACTCACTCACAACACTCACTCACAACACTCACTCACAACACTCACTCACAACACTCACTCACTCACAACACTCACTCACTCACAACACTCACTCACAACACTCACTCACTCACAACACTCACTCACTCACTCACAACACTCACAACACTCACTCACAACACTCACAACACTCACTCACAACACTCACTCACTCACAACACTCACTCACAACACTCACTCACAACACTCACTCACTCACAACACTCACAACACTCACTCACAACACTCACTCACTCACAACACTCACAACACTCACTCACAACACTCACTCACTCACTCACAACACTCACTCACTCACTCACAACACTCACTCACTCACAACACTCACTCACTCACAACACTCACAACACTCACAACACTCACTCACAACACTCACTCACAACACTCACTCACTCACTCACAACACTCACAACACTCAATCACAACACTCACAACACTCACTCACTCACAACACTCACAACACTCACTCACAACACTCACTCACTCACTCACAACACTCACTCACTCACAACACTCACTCACTCACAACACTCACTCACTCACACACTCACAACACTCACAACACTCACTCACAACACTCACTCACAACACTCACTCACTCACAACACTCACAACACTCACTCACTCACAACACTCACAACACTCACTCACTCACTCACAACACTCACTCACAACACTCACAACACTCACTCACAACACTCACAACACTCACAACACTCACTCACAACACTCACTCACAACACTCACTCACAACACTCACAACACTCACTCACTCACAACACTCACTCACAACAATCACTCACAACACTCACTCACTCACAACACTCACTCACTCACAACACTCACTCACAACACTCACTCACTCACAACACTCACTCACAACACTCACTCACAACACTCACAACACTCACTCACAACACTCACTCACAACACTCACTCACAACACTCACAACACTCACTCACAACACTCACAACACTCACTCACAACACTCCTCACTCACAACACTCACTCACTCACAACACTCACTTACAACACTCACAACACTCACTCACAACACTCACTCACAACACTCACTCACAACACTCACTCACTCACAACACTCACTCACAACACTCACTCACTCACAACACTCACTCACAACACTCACTCACTCACAACACTCACTCACTCACAACACTCACTCACTCACAACACTCACTCACAACACTCACAACACTCACTCACAACACTCACTCACACACTCACTCACAACACTCTCACAACACTCACTCACTCACAACACTCACTCACTCACAACACTCACTCACAACACTCACAACACTCACTCACAACACTCACTCACTCACAACACTCACAACACTCACTCACAACACTCACAACACTCACTCACTCACAACACTCACTCACTCACAACACTCACTCACTCACAACACTCACTCACAACACTCACTCACAACACTCACAGCACTCACTCACTCACAACACTCACTCACAACACTCACTCACTCACAACACTCACTCACTCACAACACTCACAACACTCACTCACAACACTCACTCACTCACAACACTCACTCACTCACAACACTCACTCACAACACTCACTCACAACACTCACTCACAACACTCACAGCACTCACTCACAACACTCACTCACTCACAACACTCACTCACTCACAACACTCACTCACTCACAACACTCACTCACTCACAACACTCACTCACAACACTCACTCACTCACAACACTCACTCACTCACAACACTCACTCACTCACAACACTCACTCACAACACTCACAACACTCACAACACTCACTCACAACACTCACTCACAACACTCACTCACTCACAACACTCACTCACAACACTCACTCACTCACAACACTCACTCACAACACTCACTCACTCACAACACTCACTCACAACACTCACTCACTCACAACACTCACTCACAACACTCACTCACAACACTCACAACACTCACTCACTCACAACACTCACAACACTCACTCACTCACAACACTCACAACACTCACTCACAACACTCACTCACTCACAACACTCACTCACTCACAACACTCACTCACAACACTCACTCACTCACAACACTCACACACTCACTCAAAACACTCACAACACTCACTCACAACACTCACAACACTCACTCACAACACTCACTCACTCACTCACAACACTCACAACACTCACTCACAACACTCACTCACAACACTCACTCACTCACAACACTCACAACACTCACTCACAACACTCACTCACTCACAACACTCACAACACTCACTCACAACACTCACTCACTCACAAACACTCACTCACTCACAACACTCACTCACTCACAACACTCACAACACTCACAACCACTCACTCACAACACTCCTCACAACACTCACTCACTCATACACACTCACAACACTCACTCACAACACTCACAACACTCACTCACTCACAACACTCACAACACTCACTCACAACACTCACTCACTCACAACACTCACTCACTCACAACACTCACTCACTCACTCACAACACTCACTCACTCACAACACTCACAACACTCACAACACTCACTCACAACACTCACTCACAACACTCACTCACTCACAACACTTACAACACTCACTCACAACACTCACAACACTCACTCACAACACTCACAACACTCACTCACTCACTCACAACACTCAATCACGACACTCACAACACTCACTCACAACACTCACAACACTCACAACACTCACTCACAACACTCACTCACAACACTCACAACACTCACTCACTCACAACACTCACTCACAACACTCACTCACAACACTCACTCACTCACAACACTCACAACACTCACAACACTCACTCACAACACTCACTCACTCACAACACTCACTCACAACACTCACTCACAACACTCACAACACTCACTCACTCACAACACTCACTCACAACACTCACTCACAACACTCACTCACAACACTCACAACACTCACACACAACAATCACAACACTCACTCACAACACTCACTCACTCACAACACTCACAACACTCACTCACAACACTCACCCCACGCACTCACACACTCACTCACTTCACAACACTCACTCACAACACTCACGTCACTCACAACACTCACTCACAACACTCACTCACTCCAACACTCACTCCCAACACTCACTCACTCACAACACTCACTCACAACACTCACTCACAACACTCACAAACACTCACTCACACACTCACTCACACACTCACTCACAACACTCACTCACAACACTCACTCACACACCACTCACTCACTAACACATCACTCACACACTCACCAACACTCACAACACTCACTATCACAACACTCACTCACTCACTTCACAACACTCAACTCACTCACAACACTCACAACACTCACTCACAACACTCACTCACACACCCTCCACACCACTCCACTCACACACTCACTCACTCACAACACTCACTCACTCACTCACAACACTCACTCACTCACAACACTCACTCACTCACAACACTCACAACACTCACTCACAACACTCACTCACTCACTCACAACACTCACTCACTCACAACACTCACTCACAACACTCACTCACAACACTCACTCACTCACAACACTCACTCACAACACTCACTCACTCACAACACTCACTCACTCACAACACTCACTCACAACACTCACAACACTCACAACACTCACTCACAACACTCACTCACTCACAACACTCACTCACTCACTCACAACACTCACAACACTCACTCACAACACTCACTCACAACACTCACTCACTCACAACACACACTCACTCACAACACTCACTCACTCACAACACTCACTCACTCACAACACTCACTCACTCACATCACTCACTCACTCACAACACTCACTCACAACACTCACTCACAGCACTCACTCACAACACTCACAACACTCACTCACTCACAACACTCACTCACAACACTCACTCACAACACTCACTCACTCACAACACTCACTCACTCACAACACTCACTCACACACTCACAACACTCACTCACAACACTCACTCACTCACTCACAACACTCACTCACTCACAACACTCACAACACTCACTCACAACACTCACTCACAACACTCACAACACTCACTCACAACACTCACTCACAACACTCACTCACTCACAACACTCACTCACAACACTCACTCACTCACAACACTCACAACACTCACTCACTCACTCACAACACTCACTCACAACACTCATTCACTCACAACACTCACTCACTCACAACACTCACTCACTCACAACACTCACTCACTCACAACACTCACTCACTCACAACACTCACAACACTCACAACACTCACTCACAACACTCACTCACAACACTCACTCACAACACTCATCACTCACTCACAACACTCACAACACTCACTCACTCACAACACTCACTCACAACACTCACTCACTCACAACACTCACTCAAAACACTCACTCACAACACTCACTCACAACACTCACTCACAACACTCACTCACAACACTCACTCACTCCCTCCCTCACAACACTCACTCACAACAATCACTCACAACACTCACTCACTCACAACACTCACTCACAACACTCACTCACAACACTCACTCACACCACTCACTCACTCACTCACAACACTCACAACACTCACAACACTCACTCACTCACAACACTCACTCACAACACTCACTCACAACACTCACTCACTCACAACACTCACTCACAACACTCACAACACTCACTCACTCACAACACTCACAACACTCACTCACTCACTCACAACACTCACTCACTCCCTCACTCACTCCCTCCCTCACTCCCTCACTCCCTCACAACACTCCCTCACAACACTCCCTCACTCACTCACTCCCTCACTCCCTCCCTCACTCCCTCACTCCCTCCCTCACTCACTCACTCCCTCCCTCACTCCCTCACTCACTCACTCACTCCCTCCCTCACTCCCTCACTCACTCACTCCCTCACTCCCTCCCTCACTCACTCACTCCCTCACAACACTCACTCACTCACTCCCTCACTACACTCCCTCACTCACTCACTCACTCCCTCACTCCCTCCCTCACTCCCTCACTCCCTCCCTCACTCCCTCACTCCCTCCCTCACTCTCTCACTCCTCACTCCCTCCCTCACTCCCTCACTACACTCCCTCACTCACTCACTCACTCCCTCACTCCCTCCCTCACTCCCTCACTCCCTCCCTCACTCTCTCACTCCCTCACTCCCTCACTCACTCACTCACACACTCCCTCACTCACTCCCTCACTCACTCACTCACTCCCTCACTCACTCACTCCCTCCCTCACTCCCTCACTCACTCACTCACTCACTCCCTCCCTCACTCCCTCACTCACTCACTCACTCCCTCACTCCCTCACTCCCTCCCTCACTCACTCACTCACTCCCTCACAACACTCCCTCACTCACTCCCTCACTCCCTCCCTCACTCCCTCACTCCCTCCCTCACTCTCTCACTCCCTCACTCCCTCCCTCACTCACTCACTCCCTCACTCTCTCACTCTCTCACTCCTCACTCCCTCCCTCACTCCCTCACTCCCTCCCTCACTCTCTCACTCCCTCACTCACTCCCTCACTCACTCACTCCCTCACTCACTCCCTCACTCACTCACTCACTCCCTCACTCACTCACTCCCTCCCTCACTCCCTCACTCACTCACTCACTCCCTCACAACACTCCCTCACTCACTCCCTCACTCCCTCCCTCACTCCCTCACTCCCTCCCTCACTCTCTCACTCCCTCACTCCCTCCCTCACTCACTCACTCCCTCACTCTCTCACTCCCTCACTCCCTCCCTCACTCTCTCACTCCCTCACTCACTCCCTCACTCACTCACTCCCTCACTCACTCCCTCACTCACTCACTCCCTCACTCACTCACTCACTCCCTCCCTCACTCCCTCACTCACTCCCTCACTCCCTCACTCCCTCACTCCCTCCCTCACTCACTCACTCACCCACCCACTCACTCACTCACCCACCCACTCACTCCCTCACTCACTCACTCATTCCCTCACTCACTCACTCACTCACTCCCTCACTCCCTCCTTCCCTCACAACACTCACTCACTCACTCCCTCACTCACAACACTCACAACACTCACTCACTCACTCCCTCACTCACTCCCACAGCATCACACGCCTTTACAACCACAACATTCACAGTTTCTCCCCCCACAACATTCCCTCCCACCCCCCCACAACATTCCCTCCCCCCACCCCCCCACAACATTCCCTCCCCCCCCCCCCCCCCCCACAACATTCCCTCCCCCCACCCCCGCCCCAACATTCCCGCTGTGTCCGCCTCCCCGCGTTCCGACCCAGGAGCGTCTCCGTGACCGCAAGGATTCCCCGCAGCTCCTGCAGGACGTCAAATTCATCTTCCCCGTGACGTTCCCCTTCAACCCCTCGCCGCTGGGCCTCGAGACCCTGCACATCCCCGCCAGCATGAACCTCGGCTTCCTCACTCGCGTCTGAGGAGCGCCGGGAGGGAGCGCCGGGAGGGAGCGCTGAGATGGAGCGCCGGGAGGGAGCGCCGGGAGGGAGCGCCGGGAGGGAGCGCTGGGAGGGAGCGTTGGGATGGAGCGCTGGGATGGAGCGCTGGGATGGAGCGCTGGGAGGGAGTGTTGGGAGGGAGTGTTGGGATGGAGCGTTGGGATGGAGTGCTGGGATGGAGTGTTGGGATGGAGCGTTGGG